CAGCGCCAGCCAGGTGGAAGCTGGTCACGGCGGCGCCCATCATTAGAGCTGGCGCTGGAAGGGGAAATGGGGAGGGAGTATGAAAAGGAATGAGGGGGGAGAGGCCCCAAAGACGCCCCCAAGAGGCTCAAATAAGCTCCCAAGAGGCCTCCAGGAGGCCCCCAAGAGGCTCCCAAGAGGCCCCGCGACGACGTGACCAAGACGGTACAGGATGGCCCCAAGAGGGCCCACCAAAAAAAAAACGGACGCCCAAAGAGGGCGCCAAGAAGACCTCCAAGAGCGCTTCCAGAAACAATAATCATTGATTTCCCATGGGGTTATGGGGTTTTCAAAGATTGTGGCGTTCCACGTTCTGAAATGACGTGCTGAGCGGCCGCGACATGGCCACCAGCCCCGCCCCCAATGGTGCCAAACGGCGAAAAAGCCCCCCAAGACGACCCAAGACGCCCCCACGGAACTCCCGAGAACCCCCAAAACGATTTCACTGTACGTACTCCGGACGTGCACCCCGCGAAGCGAGAGGAATCCAACCATTGATTGCCCAACAAATGTTTCAATGGTTTTTGCATTTGCCTCTTTTCGGCCTTCCGACGGCTTAAGGCGGTCCAAGAGGCATCCAAGATCACCCCGAGAGGGCTCAAAGAGAACCTCCAAGATGGCCCCACTACTGCCCAATAGGCCGCCAAGACTGCCCCAAGAGGGCCCCAAGACGGCCCAAGAGGCCTCCAAGGCAATCAAGCTGGCCTCCAAGACGGCCCTGAAGCGCCCCAAGAGGGCCCTAACACCGTTCAGAGAGGCCTTCACGACAGCTTCCGACGTAGTCAGACGAGCCTGGAACGCCCTAAGACGGCTAAAGTGGCCCCTAAGAAGCCCCCAAGGCCCCAAAGAGGCCGAAAGAGGCTCCTCAGAGGCCTCCAAGAGATCCCCAGGAAGCTTCCAGGCCCCCAGCGTGCCCCACGAGGCTCCTAAAAGGCTTGAGCCTCCTCTTAAATTGTCCTCCAACTCGTTCTCTTCCGCTTCCTCCTCCAGGGTTTCCCCCAAGGCGTTTCCACAATGACTCGGGGGACACATGGTCCGATAGCTTGCCCAAGCACTGGACACAAAGCCTCACCACCTCGGCGCGTCCAAAAAGGCAGGGGGCGGCGGTGGGTCGCCGTAAGCGTTTCCGATCATCATCCTTATTCCTTTCTACCTCCTCCTCCTCCTCCTTCTCCTCGTGCATTTCCCCCATCCTCCTCCTCCTCCTCCTTCCCCCTTTCCTCATCCCTCCTCCTCCTCCTCCTCATACACCCTCAATCCGCCTACTTCAATCCTCTTCCTTTCCCTCCTCAGCCTCATCCCCCCCACCTCCCTGACAAAACTTTGCGGGTGATCCCCGCCGGCCTGAGTCTGAGAGGAGGTGCCGCGCGCGATGCGATGGCCGCTTCTCGAGCCAAAAAAGCAGCTGCCCGCGGCGCCCTTGAGCATCGCGCCCCACTGTCTTCTTCCCCCGCTCCCCCCCTTCCCTCCATCCCACACCCTTCCCCTTTTCCCTTCCCCGCGATCTCCCGCACAATTGCGCAATATGACTACGTACGTCTCTCCTCTCTCTCCTGATGTCGTGCTGGTTCGAGAAAGCCTTACTGTACACGGCCTCGCTGTGCGCAGGATGGGTCCGAATTGTCTCCCGGTACTGCTTTTCAATCAGGCTCTTTTCTGCCTTTCACATGTGGTGTTCCTACTGGCGCGCTCGAAATATATCAGGATAACAAGGGGGGAATCCGTCCAACGGCACGAAGATGCGGCCGCAGAGGTGGCAATGGCGGCTGTACTCTTGCATGCAAGCAAAACGTTTGCTGCCTTTGAAAAATCGTCCTCTCGCTAGTGCGTTTGCCGTGTTCTATGTTCACCAGGACGCCTCCGTCCAACGGAACGACGGTGTCACCGCCGCTGTGACAATAGTACACCTTGCTAAATTATGTTTTCCGTCGATCTCCAATTGAGCGGCGCTCGCGCTGCAGCGCTGAGCGTAGACATGCGTCAACAAAACGGCGTCCTCTCTGCAACGCGTGCCGCATTGCTTTTCATAGAGCTCCGCCCAACGAGACAGGACTCTCGCTGGGGCGCTGGCCGCCCCCAGCTCCCGCACGGGCAGCGTGCCTCCCCAAGGGTGGCACTTGCGTGCTGTGGGCTGCTGGGCGGAAAGTCGGGTGCCTGGGAAGACCGCACGGATCAAGGAGTTTATCGGAGAGAGCGTGATCCACGCCGCTTTACTGTGGAAAATTCCCCCCCCCCCCCCCTCTTTCTCCGGAACCCGGGGGTCCTTCCCCCCCTCCGAACATCCCCCCCTCCCCCCTGGCCCCCCCCCTAACCCCCCCCACCCTCCGGAAAACCGGGGGGTGTCACTTCCGGTTCGAACCCCTCCCCCCCCCTCCAGAAAACCGGGGGGGGTCACTACGGGTTCGAACCACACCCCACCCTCCAGAAAACGGGGGGGGGGGTCACTACTGGTTCGAACCCCCCCCCCCCACTCACCGCCGGGCCAACGACTGACGGGTCCCCACCACCGTCCGCACCACCTCCCCCACTGCTGTCCCCAGCACCACTGTCCTCACTACCACTGTCCCCATTGTTCCCACCACCGTCCCCACTGTCCCCACCAGTGCCCGCACCACTGTCGCACTGTCCCCACTGTCCCCACCACTGTTCCCACCACGGTCCCACTCTCCCCATTTTCCCCACGGTCCCAACCACTGTCGCATTGTTCCCACTGTCCCCACTGTCCCACTGTCCCCGCCGCTGTCCCACTGAGCTGTCCCACTGTTCCCACCACTGTCCCCACTGTCCCCACCACTGTCCCCACTGCACCTCTGTCCCATTGTCCCACCAACGTACTCACCACCGCCCTCACCACTGTCCCCACCACCACTGTCCTGACCACTGTCCCACTGTCCCCACCACATTCCCACTGTCCCCACACCACTGTCCCCAGCACCACCGTCCCCACCACTGTCACAGTATCCCCACCACTGTCCCACTGTCCCCACTGTTCCCACCATTGTCCCCGCTGTCCCCACCAGTGCCCCCACCAGTGTCTCACTGTCCCCACTGTCCCCACCACTGTTCCCACCACGGTCCCACTCCCCCCACTTTCCCCACGGTCCCCACCACTGTCCCACTGTCTACACTGTACCCACCACTGTCGCACTGTCCCCACTGTCACCGCCGCTGTCCCACTGTGCTGTCCCACTGTCCCCACTGTCCTCACCACTGTCCCACTGTCCCAACTGTCCCCACCACGCTCCCCACTGTACTACTGTCCCACCACCGTCCCCACCACCGCCTTCACCACTGTCCCCACCACTACCGTCCCAACCACTGTCACACTGTCCCCACCACTGTCCGGCTATCCCCTCACCACTGTCCCCACCACCACCGTCCCCACCACTGTCCGCACCACCGTCCCACTGTCCCCACACCACTGTCCCCACCACCACCGTTCCCACCACTGTCCCAGTATCCCCACCACTGTCCAACTGTCCCGAGAAGCGGGAATCGTTTGCCGGCGGCGAGGGGAGGGGTTCAAACCGGTGGCGACCCCTCCGCATTTTTCATGATGGACTTGGGGAGGGGAGGGGTTCGAACCGATAGTGACCCCCCCGGCTTTCGAGGGGGGGGGGAGGGGAACCCCCAGTGACCCCCCCGTTCTCCGCCAAAACGCTTTTTCTTTTATCGAGGCACGGCCTTGCGAATAGAGAGGGCGTCAACGCATTGGAAAGGCGTTGTGTGGGTTAGGATGACATATATGGCGCGGAAGGAAGCACCTAGCTTGACAGCTACTCGATACGACCACTACTCTACTCTCCCCCTGGCTACGTGCTGGAGGTGAGGTGTCCCGCCCTCTCCGTGCATCTTTCTGTACACACAATATTTCAAGCATTGCTGTACTACTTGTTTTACCATCCGACCGTTTCCGGTCCTTCCATATTGTGCTCTCCCTGCAGCGCTGGCCTCATTTCAGGATCACCGCTTGGCTCCCGTCGTTCAAAATGGCGCTCTCGCCACAGCGCGGGCCACATGTCTGGATCCGAATGCCTCCTCGTCGTTGTTGCCCCCATCCTTTCACCTACCCCGCATTCCCCTGGTCCTCCTGCTGCTGCTGCTGCTGCGCCTCCTCCTCCGCCTGCTTCCTCATCCTCCTCTTCCTCCCGCGCATCCTTCTGCTCATCCGCCCTCGTTTCTGACTGCGCATGGCACGAGGTGGTCGGGGGGGGGGTGCCAGGCCCGCCGTGACACCCGTCGGCGGACGGAGACCTCTCAGCACTGTGGGAAAGGATGGGTGGGAGGGGTACGGTGGGGGCATTGGATAAGGAACCCTTGGATCAGGAATCCAGGGTCTGGAAGCCAGTGGAACTCCAATTCGAGGCTTGGCCGTGGATGTCACCGCCGCCCTCATCAGATAAGGAACCCTCCAAGGTCTGAAGCCTCCTGGGCACATTCCTCACCAACGCCCTGCAAATGGCGCAATGCACTTAGCTTGCCTCCTGCACTGTCCCCCTCTCTCCTCCCCCCTTCCGCTTCCCTCCCCCGCCCCCCTTTCCTTCAGCCTCCCCCTCCTACCGTGCGCCCCCCCTTCTGGCCCCCGTCTCCTCCCCTGGAAGCCTCCCAAATCGGGTTCGAGTAGATGGTGTCGGAGGATCGCGCAGCATCACCGATGCATCGGCGCCGTCGTCATGGAGAACATCGGGCCCCACATCGAGCCGTGATGAGTCAAATTAAGCCGCGAACTCCACTCCTGGTGGCGCACTTCCGTTTTGATGAAACAGTCGGATTCCGCTTGTCCACTCCAGTTCTGAGTTGGTTGTCCACTGCATAGGGCAAGCCCCGAAAGGCGTTCCTTGAACGGAATTCTCGCCATGCGCGAATCCACTATCCACAAGAAGGCGTCAACGCCTGGCGCGGTGGGGGCAGCGGCGGGACCTCCCCTTGGGGGAGGTCGTCCTCTTTGGGGTCTGGGAGGCCTTCTTGCTGAGGGCCACCTGCGAGGGGCCACCGGCGCGGGGCGCGGGGATGGGAGTGGGGCAGCTCGGCGGAGAGGCGGGAGGGGAGGAACAAAAGGGGGGGGCAGGAGGAAAGGGGGAGGGAGAAACATGAGAAGGAGGAGCAGGAAGAGGAGGAGGGAGGGATGGGGGAGGGAGGGACGAGTGGAAACTCCGAGGGAGGAGGAGGCGGAGGAGGAGGAAGAGGAGGAGGAGGAATACATCAGCGCAGGAAGAGGAGTCGTCTACGAGCACGGCTGGAGATCTCGCGGCCTCCTGCCCCTCTCGACGCCGTGCTCGCGGGACTTGTCAGCAGCGACGACGGAGGAATCGGGAACGACAGACACAGCGGCAGCCGAATAAGCTTGAGACAAGCTGCAATAGTGATGATCATGAAGCGGCACAAATGCCAGGGACGACGCCATACTTCAGCCCGCTGTCTGAGCACCCTCCACCAGCAAGGCCGAGACCAGAGCCCAGACACTTTACGAAGCAAACGCTGCGCCAGATATATGCAAACGTCTGGCGCCGTGCTGTGCTGGGAGGACGGCGCCACATCCACAATCGACGAAGGAGCGTCGTGTATGACCGACGAGGTGAGGAGGATGAGGAGGGGAAGGAGGAGGACCAGTGGTACTCAAGACGCATCGACGATGTTGCAATAACCCCCATTCCATGTTCCGCCTTGAGACATCCCTACAAAAAAACATATACTCATTATGGGAGTGCCCCATCCGAAGACAATCGCCTGAGAATCCTCAATCGTGCCTAACATCATTCGTGGGACTTCGACACCGCGAATCAACATGACAACATGACTGTTGCATGCGGACAATCCTAAGTAGAGCAAGAGCACCATTCGCGGGGCTTCAGCATCGCGAATCAGCGTGACTGTTGCGTCTGGACAGCCCTAAATCGCGCCAGGGCGCCAAATCTGGACATCAAGAGAACGACATCGAAAGGACGATCTGCACCATTTCAAAACGAATGTGCTCTGCGCTTAAAGCGAGAACCAAATGTTGAACAGGACCCGCTCTCCATCGTTGAAACATGCTGAAACTGCTGCACACTTTTGAAACGATTGTGCCAGGCGCTGAGGCGAGAGCCACATTTAGAAAACGCATCGTCCTCCATGCTCTTGATATTGCTGCAGAGCGCTACTTTAAGCATCACAAATCGTGAGGGAATCTCGGACGAAACGCCGGGCCATCCCCACCGACACGTCTGAGGCTACGACAGGGAGGAGCTTACAGGATAAGGGATGAGGAAAGAGGAGAAGAAAGGCGTAGAGAGGTGAAATGAAGATGAGGAGGCGGATGAAGAGGAGGGAGTAGGATCATCAATCTGCAGGATGATGATGACAAGGGGAAGGATGAAGGAGGAGGCGGAGGAGGAGGAGGACCCTTCCTGGGCTGCTCTGCCGTCGACGCTGAGTGAACTCTCACCTTGAGAGCTGCAAACCCTAAGGGGCCAATATGCTTAAACATGTTAGAGCGTGTCCTATCAAAACCTCCGTTATTCCTCTTCGGGGAGGGGGTTAAACATGCTCTTGCTAACTCCCCACTTGACCAGCCGATGACCAGGAAGAAAGACCCCCCCGACATCCCTGCCATTAAAAAGATACAGCGTGCATGTGGCAGCCAAATTTGAATCATGAGCGGGCACCCCGCGGTCACCTTTCATTGGCATTGCATAACCTTGGTGTGCAGGGGGGATTTATGTGTCCGCTGTGCGTTCGCCCATTACCCGTATCAAGAGCAGTTGCTAACTGATTGCGGGTGCCTACACATTACACCATGCTGACCACCCCGTCGCCACGTTGCATTGGGTTTTGACTAGGATGTTGGGGATGTCGACGTGTTTCCCGCTGTGTGCTGTCACGTGCGCTGGCGCACTTGTCGCCGCCTGGCGCCCTTTCTGCGCGTCGCGCACGTGGCGCGGCTGGAGCACGTGGCGCCCTTGGCTGACGCGGCGCATCTGGCGCGCATAGAATGCGCGGGGCACCTCGCGAGCGTCGCGCAGGTGGTCCCCGTTGTGGTGCCCTTCCGCTGGAGATAATCTGCCTGGGATGAATCTCGGGTGCAACTTCCGATAACTTCATGTTGGGAGGGTGGGCGGGAGTCAACGATACAACTGATGGCCTTCCCGTGAGAAACCTGATCGCCGTTCTTTATCAACAACCACCTGCTCGCCCACCCGACCGGCGACAATCCAGAAACAATGTCAGCCCCCACCCAGCATTCCGTGCAAACGAAAGGCACAATACAATTTGCATCAGAATCTTGGTCATGCGCGGACGCCCCGCGATCACTGTGCATGGGTCCTGGTGCAAGGACGGCGGAGGGCTGGCATGTGGCCTTCCGCGCGTACTGCCAACACCCCACCAACACCCCTTGCAAAAAACAATGCAGAGTGCACGTTGCACGCAAAACTGGATCATGCGCAGGCGCCCCGCGATCACTTCGCATTGGCTCCCATTGATTATGTGGTGTTGGGTCCTCGTTTTGAAAAGACAGCGCCCCGTGTATCCTTCCTTCCTCAGTCCCGCTGATCTCAACCTCCTCCAGTCCCAGCATCTGCCCCCCGGGTGTCCTCCTCAGCATCAGCATCGTCAGCATCATCCCCGCAACTTATCATCATCTTCACCATCATCACCATCACCACCATCATCATCGTCATCATCACCATCATCACCTTCAGCATCATCATCACCATCAACATCACCATCATCGTCTTCACAATCATCACCACAACTATCACAATCACAACCACCATCACTACCACCATCAGCATCATCATCACAAGCATCAGCAGCATCATCACCATCATCATCATCATCATCATCGCAATACAAGTCATCATCAGCAGCAGCGCCATCAACACCAGCACCATGACCATGACCATGACTATCAACATCAGCATCGTCACCATCACCGCTGTTCATCACCATCACCATCGTCATCGTCACCATCATAACCATCACCATCATCACCATCAACGTCACCATCATCATCATCAACAACGTATAACCACCACCCACACCATCAATTATCACCATCAACGTCATCAGCATCACAATCACCATCATCACATACCAAGTCAGCATCTTCAGCATCAACATCACGACCAACACCATGACCAAAACCATGACCATCACCGTCAGCATCAACACCTTCATCATCACCGAAGATTATCACCATCACGACTATCATCATCACCATCATCACCACCATCATTATCATAATCATCATCAGCATCATTAAAAGCATCATCATCATCATCATCATCATCATGGTCACCCTCACCATCACCACCACCATCAATCATCATCACCATCGTCATCAACATCATCGTCATCGAAATCGTCATCATCATCGTCAGCGGCATCATCATCGTCATTGTCATCGTCATCACCAGCATCATCATCCACGTCATCATCATCATTACCAATATCATCATCATCAGCAACGTCGACACCATCATCATGATCATCACCACCACCATCACCATCATCGTCAGCATCACCATAATCATCATCCGCATAAACATCCGCATCATCATCCTCGTCGTCATCACTATCAGTAGCAGCATCACCACAACCACTACCACCACCACCATCACCATCATCAGCATCATCATCATCGTCACCATCGTCACCATCATCACCACCATCATCATCAACATCATCAGCATCATCACCATTACAACCGCCAGGAGCGCGCGGCGGCCAAGGCCGTGAACGGACTAAAGGGCGCGGGCGGGGCGGGCCGCCTGCCGCGCCGCCTGCTGTCGGATGGCCGGGGGGCGAGGGCGCCGCGTCGGGCGCGCCCAGAGTCCCGCCCGGTGGAACTTCCCGATGCACCCCACGCACGTGCTACACGTTCATAGGCCGCGGCTCGTCTGCGCGGTGTGCGGCTGCTACGCGGCGTCGGCGAGAACCTTGAACCTGACGGAGCCGTGCCCGCGCCGCGCGGTGGGCAAAAAGCGAGACGCCCTCCCCCGCATGCAGAGGGGACTCCAGCCGTCCCAATCGGGGTGGCTCGGCGAGCCAGCGGCGGTGGCACGTGGGTTGATGGGCCGCAGCCGCTCACGTGAGCCCAAGGGCAGAGCGGCAAGGAGGCCTCCGCAACTCCCCGTCTGTCCGCTCGACATTATGCGTAGCTGCGTCGGCCCCGTGCGGCTGGCGGCGTACATTCCCTGGGGGCGGGGGTGCTTGACAACCTGACCCGAAGGCTTGTGCGGAGTGGTGGGCTCCCTGCCCTGACCACTCCTGGCCTCAGAAGGCCAAGGTGGGAAGCTTGCCCGTTGGGGCGTCGTGGGGGCTCCCTCGTCGCAAGCTGCGCTGAGGTTCGCTCGTGCAGTTTCCGTGCTCTGCCGCGCGGCAGCCGGCCCTGGCGTAGATGCGGGCCACGCGTAGATGCGGGCGACGCGCCCCCGACGCCCGCGCTTTTGAATGGGAATGACCATCATCATCATCATCATCATCATCATCATCATCATCATCATCATCATCATCATCATCACCATCATCACCATCATCACCATCATCATCACCAGAATCTTCACCACCATCAGCAGCAGGAGCATCACCACCGTAATCATCATCATCATCAACAGCATCAGCATCATCAGCAGCAGCAGCATCATCAACACCACTAGCAGCATCATCGTCGGCATCACCATCGTGTTCTTCATCCTAATAATCATCATCATCGTCATTATCAGCGTCAACATCCGCACCATCATCACCATCAACATCGTCATTATCACCAACAACAGCATCACCGTCATCACCACCCGCATCATCATCGGCAACATCACCATATCATGAGCACCTGCCTTTACATCAACCTCATCAATGGAACAGCATCCATAACATCAGCATAGCAGCCGCCAACAGCATCAGCATCATCAACAGCATCAGCAACCTCGTCTCATCATCAGCATCACAATCACCAGCATTATCAGCAGCATTCGCATCATAACCAACATCAGCATTG